CAAATGGGCTAGGTGTAAGGTTCACCTTCAATGAAGGTAGATTGATTCTAAAAATTGGGTTAGCTTGGCTTAATTAGGAAATGAAGAATCTATTTAAGTTGTTTAATTCAATCAATTTGATTAATTGTAATATTTAACTCGAAGGACTAAATGGTGCCCCTTGAGGATTCAATTGAACAAGGATCGGTCAATTGGGCTTAAGTGACATAAATAAGAGGTAAATGAGTACATTTGATATATGGTGAATTCACTTATATCAAATGTAAGATTTGATTGAAGTTAATTTTATCAATTTGGCTTAAGATTTTAATTATGTCCAATCAACAATGGTTAATTAATAGGAATTATTTATAAGAGATGGATTGACTCAATTTAGTTAAATGGGTCAAAATGATCGAAGGTGTTTAAATGAGTTAATTTGGGCTAAGTTAGCCAATGAAATACCAAGGACCAATTAGGGCTAATTCATATATGATTGACCTGTTGAATTTAATTTAAGGCCTAAAGTTCAATCAATTTGGACAATTTAAATCTTTTGGTCCAATTAAATAAGATTGAATAGATACATTTGGTTTAAATTAGGTTAAAGGAATTAAGCAAGCCATGCCAAAATATATTTGGCTAAGTTAGAACAAGTCTAACCTTTTGGAACTATTGACAAAGTTAGACTAAGTTAATGTTTCAAATTCTAGGGTTTGTGTAGATTTGACTTAATTGTGTCTGAGTGGGTTATACTAGAGTTCAGGCGATGTTGGCCTAGTCTAATGTTCAAATAAGTTGATGAACAAAATCCCATGAAAGAGATTTGGCTAGTCAACTAAACAATTAGTTTAAAATCACCAATTTAATTTAGAAGTATCTTATTGTTTCCATGACTAGGTTGACTTCTTATCAAGCATGAGACAAAAGTTCAAGCTCAAATGAGCCCGAGGTTAATTATATTACATAAAATTATGATTAAATTATTGAAAAACAAATTGAATTTTTACACCAATTACTATGTCCATCATGACCAATTAAAGTTAAGCTTGGTTAGGTCTACCTCAGGTATGGCTAAGGTTAAACATATCAAGAAGAATGAGTTAAGAATTTGATTTAGAATTGATAGTTATAGGGTCCCCTCCTATGAGCTCTGCTAGGTCCAATTGGATCTGATGGTTTTCCTAGGGTTTAGTCCTAATCAACTCAAGTTAAGTATTGGATTGGCATGATTAGCTAAGTTATGTTACTATGTAACCTTACAATGAGCTGAGGACTTGAATTAAATTTAATTTGAAGGAGAATGGTAGATTCATCTATGAAGAGATCTAGAGGATCAATCAAGGGGTATTGACCTAGTTAAGTTCAAGCATCCAAGACTGAGTATGGCTAAATTAGTTCAATATGGAAAGCAACTTAAGCTTATTAAGCCAAAGCATCACTAGACATGAAAACATAAGGGTGTGTTTGGTTGCATGTAAGGATCAATATTTTTAGATTTCTTGAAGGATATTTTTTCCTTACTCAAAATATCTCATATAGTCATTAATAAAAAAATATTAAGATCTTGATCACCCATGGTCAAGTTATATATAATTAAAAAGATCTTATTGACATATTTTGACTAAGTCCAATTTGGGCAGCTACATAACTAGCGGTGATTGTCATCTATAGTTTCTTTAATTGCTAATCTTGATACGCCATATGATACATCTCATTCTTACAAGTGTATCAATAGCGACATGTCAATTTTTTAATGATTGAATTAATATAAATAATTCTAAGAATGGTTATTTCTTCTTAATTGGGGAATAACATTGTGCTACAACTTTTATATAAATCAAATTCTCTCTTTAGATGGTATATTTTTAACTAAATGGCTTATTAAATTGTGAAGCATTGACGGTATAACAACTGGGAGAAATTCAAATATCTTAGAACGAATTTCAAAATAACCATATAAATTTAATATGATCAAAATTGCTAGCATGCCTCTCATGATAGGAGGAGCTCAAAGGGATGATTGAATGATACCTTAAATATTTGCAGTGGCATTAATAGTGAAGTAAACACTATTGTCGTCACCCATCTCTTGTATGTGACCCCTATATACAGATGTTGTAATCTAGGGATGAAGGTCAATCAAGTTGCCTCCCTTTGGTTCAAAAGAAGTGGAGCCTTAAAGGTTTCTATTTGGGTAATCCAAGTTTTCTTTTTGAATTACTTCAAGATGAATGTTTCCTTTTGAACATTGTGGTTAATTAAATAAGAACTTTTACAATCCCGACAATCATGATTAGCTTTATTTTTCGTGGCCAACTTTACGAAAAATTTCGCCAATCAGTCTCCTCAAGTAATATAAGGGGTGCAATTTCTTTTTCATTCATGCCATATTGTAGGATCTTTTGCTTTGCCATCTTTCATTCCTCTATTTATATTCAACTTGTTATACACATCCACATCACCTAAACATATTCTTTTTGGTATTTATGATTTGTTTCATGTGAGTGGGTGGGTGCTTTGGTTGGGGAGGTGTTGGTGTTGATGCCCATACAAGTAATTCATGATCCATGAATGATGAAGCCATTATCTTTCAATTCTTCCTACAAACTTTTTCCCAGTTGTTCATCTTTTCATTACAGCTAAATAATTGAGGTGCTCCTTCCATTACAAGTAATAAATAATACATGGCCAATGAACTAAGAACCCATACATTTTAAAGCTTTCCTATACACTTTCCAATACACTACTTGCTTATCATTCCATTGGAGACAACTGCAGGTGCTCTCTGCATTATGATAGCAAGTGGTGAGATTATCAGTTCTTGCTATCTCCATTTAAGTAGCAGGTGGACTGACTTTCTACCTTAAATATTTTCTGTCTGTCTCATAATCAAAGAACGAAGTTATCTTATGTTACGCAACTCATCTTGATTTGTTGATCGGGAGCTTTGACTACTAACAAATTAAGAGATATTGGGTTCTAGTTTTTATGTTTTTTTTTTCTAGAATGAGGGTATCTACCTGCTGCCACTCTAAAGAGAGTGCTTTCCGGCATAACTAATCCCTCGACGGAACCTAACGAGGCCACCCACTGGCATCGGACCACCCTTGCTTTGCCTCACTGAAGAGGTGAGGCTGTTGTACAATGGATTCGAACCCGGGAACCAACCACCCTAAACATCCGTGGATGCTTGATTCATTATCCCAGAAAATAAAATGAGAATTTATTAAAAAATGTATGTGGTGCAGAAGTTGTTTATACAGAAATTTATGGCCACAGGACTTTAATATATTATCTGGGCCATGAATGCAGGAGAAGATATCTTTCAAGTTGCAGAAGATTAGAGCAAGTCAACAAAAGAGCAGTCAATGTAATCTAAAAATATTTGAGAGTATTAGAATTCTGCTATGGTGCTGACAGGCAACTAACCTTGTTTATGATGCTAAACAATGCTGTCAATTTGCTACTTGCAATGAGCTTGTTAAGGTTTTGATTGAAAGAAATCAGAGGAAATATTGATAATTTATTGATTAATTGTGAGGTTCTTGTAATTTAGTTTTTTTTTTTTCATTAAACTATGAACATTCAAACACAAAGAGTTAAACAGTCAATGTGGAGCTATGAAAGTTTTTTAACTGAATGAAAGTGGCAAAAATAAGAATTATAATTATGTATATAAATTTTTTTTATCAATATAATTCATTTAATCCTAACATGAATAGTATGTATGTTAAATTTCAGGTTAGCAGGCCAACTCCAATTTGACCTAATATGTTATCGGGTCAAGATTGAAAACGTTAAATAAACAAGCTTGAATAGCTATATGCTGGACTTGTTTATGTTCGTGAATAAAATTATTTGAAGCACGTGAACAAGCTTGTTTCATGTCGATACATGCAGAGGTGGTGAACAAAATGGTTTATAAATAAGAATGTTTGAAACGAAATACATTTTTTTTAAAATTAGCATAAATCATTATTTGATATATTTTCATATAATTTTAGTTTTGTTATAGTAAGTGGTTTTTATTTTATTTAAAAATAATAATTTTATTTTTAATGATATACTCTTTTATTAGAATGATTTTTTTCGTAAACAAAAGGAATTTATTTATGTTTGCTCGATTATTTGTTTAAATTGTTTATGAACAAAATTTCTTAGCTTATTTGTTTGTGAATAGGCTCGTTTAATATCTCGAAAATACTCACTAGATATGTTCGTGAAAGAATAGCTCAAAATCACTCGCCAGATATGTTTGCGAACAATCTCTATGGTAATTATTTATAACTATGCTCCATATTGCTTGCTCGTTATGCTAATTGATATCTATAAATTAAAGTTTATAAATAGCTCAATAAAACTCATTTATTTAAAACACTATAAACATAGAACGAATCAAACATGAATTGATCACAAATCAAAGATCATTTCAAACAAATCAAATTTGAACACACAAAATTTTTTTTTTTTTAATTGAACTCGAATCGAGCTTGAATAAGCTCATAATAAACAAGCTCAAGCATCAATATTGCACTTGCTTGGCTGGGCTTATTTTTTTTGGATCTCTAATATAAAATTATATAAAAATAATTAAGTACTAATTTTCTAAAGAATAAAAATTAGATATTATATATAAAATAAAAAAAAATTACATGCATATTAGCTTTTCAAGATCTAAATAATGACTAATGAGAAAAAAAGTGGCAATGAAGATGCTTTCTCAGTGTCTCTCACCCACAGATTCAGCTAAATCTTGGGTGTCTCAGCAGCAGCTGTGGCTCCTACTCTTTCAAGTAAAAGGCGCCCATCTCCATGAAGCCCACATGCCAGAATGATCACTACTCAACTACTACCCACACTGTAGATTCCAATCTCCACCACTCAAATAGCTCTTCCTTTTCTTTTATTTTCATGCATTTTATTTTTCCCTGCCCCTTTTTCTTCATTTTGTTCTATAAATTGCACCCTCCTCTCCTGCCCAACTTCCTCTTCCCCCTCTCCTCTCCTTCCTTGCTAAGCTTTCCTTGCTGCTCCTCTTTCGCTTTCTTTCTTTAAGCTTCTTAAGGCTTTGGTATAGAACTAGTGAGACTGGTCTGGTCTGGTTCTCAAGGTCCTTTGGGAAGAAAGTCCTTCGATTTTTCAGTTTGTGTTAGCTTGAATTCTTATTTTGTTGAGCAAGATTGGATCTTGCTCTTCTAATCTTATAAGTTTCTCTAGTTCGTATGCATCGGCTCTTACTTTTAAATGTTTCTGATTGATGTGGACTATCGTAAGTGAAATCCTGCTCTCTGGTTTTATGATAAACTCCACCCTGCGACGCAGGACCCATCTGGTGCAATCTTTTTCAGTTGTGTTTCTCTACTGGTTCTATGTGTTTTCATGAGCTTGTTTCTCCTCTCCGAGCATCAGATCAGGGCCCTGTAAACCCTAAACTTATATAAAGTTTGTATCTTTTTTTTTCCTATTCCTATAAAAAACTCAGTTTTAGTGTTCTCCTGATCATAAAATTGAAGAATCAGTACTAGATAATTAATCAAGCAAGGAAACCATTTTTTAATGGCTTCCAGCAGCACCGGAACAACAACATCTTCTGGTTCATCTATTCTGCTAACGAATTCTGGATCTGAAGAGAATCTTCAGGCTTTGATGGAACAGAAGAAGAGGAAGAGAATGATCTCCAATCGAGAATCAGCAAGGAGGTCAAGGATGAGGAAGCAGAAGCATCTGGACGACCAAATGGCTCAGGTGAGCCAACTGAAGAAGGACAACGGCCATATCCTCACCACTCTGAACCTCCGCACACAGCACTATCATGTTGTAGAGGCCGAGAACTGCGTTCTCAGAACGCAGGCCATGGAGCTCACCTCCAGACTTAATTCCCTCACTGAAATCCTCCACTGCATGAACGCAGAATCCATTAACCAGCTGATGAGTTCTGAACCTTTCTTCAACCCATGGAGCTTTTTGTCCATGAACCAGCTGCCCATCATGGCTTCTTCATCTGATTTAATGCAGTACTACTAGATCCTGATCAAATGAACTTTTAGATCTGTTTGGAAAAGCGGGGAGATGATTATTGTTATATGATGGGCGTTTATGTAATGGAATATTGGCTATAGTTAGCATATTTGCTATAAATGCTTTTGCTATGCTTATTTCTGCTTAAGTGGTCATGTTGAGTAGTGTGAGACTGGTATGATGTGACAGGTGGTCGGTCATTAAATTCAATAAGACAATCAAGATGAATTGTTTGTTTCAGTAGAAAATGATGGCCTTCTCTGTCTTCTACTCAGGCAATTTAAATGGCTAGTGGCAAGAGAGATGCTTTGAATTCCTTTTATAATTACTATTTGATTGATGTTTTTTTTTTCCTCTTATGCAGCTGATGTTAGATTTCCTTTGGAATGATTTTCTTGTTAATTCTTAAAATAAATTTTTAAATATAAAAATTATAATTTTATATAAAAAAATTATTTTAAG